GGGCGTTACAAAGAGGGAAGTTTGACGAATCAAGCATTGATGAATGACTTGCTAGAAAAGGATATTGATAGCTCAAACATCCACATCCTCTTGTACAATTCTAGAATGCGACACTTTAAATTTTTTCAATAATAGTCAACAAATATATCAAGTATAAAATCTCATTATCCCTCAAATTTCTTCCAAAGTAAAAATTCTAATTCATTGTATTATTTCTAAAGAGTGAAATACTATGGTTTATAGGGATACTTTTCAGGAAATAAGATTCTATAGACTTGGAAATGAAGAAGAAAGTGGGCAAGAATCAATCCCACCTCCTCTTCTAAATGATCATATCCCCTGTGCCCATGTTGTAGTCTCTATAAAGAAGGAAATTCCCAACTACGTTAATTTGCATGCCTACTTGGTCTACAATATGTAACAGCTATTACGATTAATTCCTAAAAGTGAGAAAAATAGTTAGTCAAGGAGAAATTACACGAAGTGTCCTGGGTATCTTATCACATTATCCAACAAAAATCAACAATATAATAATTTTATTCAGTTTTCTATGGCAATTAGAAATAAGTAGTTTAAACTTCATCAAGTTCGTATTATGGATAACAAACAATGGCTGATGTTCACAACTATTGTCATCTTGTAGCAGCACGAACACATGTACACTCAAAATATTGCAGTCATATGCTCCTGCTAGTAATACCATCTCAAGGAAGATATCTTACACAGTATTTGTGATGTTCCAAGTTTCATTCACATAACCAAAGTAATCACTAGACATGGTCTTCAACATGCACTAGAGTTGAAGGAGGAACAACAGCTACCAAAATAAAAGTTCACTAGCAATGTAATTTCCACCAACAGAGCGCCTTCTATTTCTCTTATGAGTTTACAGTATAGATGTTTAACACGTGTAAGAGACAGTAATATAGACTGAAATCAGTGGAAAGACAAAAATACATGTGACCCTTAACATATTAAATTGCTCCAAATACCTTCTTTGTCAGTCTGTAAAGAATAATCCCCCAACCTGCTTCCCCAAGTCTAGCAGCATATGTTAGTTTAGCCTGACAGCGAAAGAAGTTATTACCTTTCGCCTTACTGCTGAACATTCCAGCAACAGCCGCAAGGCACTCCTCGCCAGTTTCTTGGTACTGCAACATTAACAAAGAATTTATCAATTTCGATTGTAGCACATGGAAACCACTAACATAGAAGAGGAAAATTGGAGCAATCATAGATTTGCAAGTGAACAATCATAGAATTGCCTCGCCCTTGGTGAAATTCATTAAAAGAACAACCTTTCTCCACAAGGAGGAGGAACAAAGCAACCAAAAAAGTCCGAGGCTTTGAAGCAATAAAGAGAGAATACTTTTTTAGAGAATGAGAATTAAGAGAAAATGAATCTAGCAGTGAAAGAATCTGCAATGGACCATAATTTTGTTAGAAACTGGATAACAATATGATTAAACCAGCTTAAAACTGCAAAACTAAATTGTGTCATAGTTATGTGTCATTCTTATTTATATACTAGGGAAAAAACAAGTACTTGACCTGCACACTGAGGACCACTCGAGCAAGGGCTTTTACCATACCCTGAACCACATTTGTGTTGCTGGGATTCCTACAATGCACATTAGAACTGCTCAGATGATAATTAAAAACAAAAAATAAAAACACAATATGAAGTCTTTTCTTTCTTCCGTAAGGAAAAGATGAGCCATTAATAAGGATCAAAAATGAAAGTAGACCATGAACATTTTGCCAATTAAGACAAGTGCCTTCACGAGAACTAAACCTACGTTGTGAAAATATCAAACTTTGAAAAATAAAAAATGATAACTAGAGTTAACATAACGAGATAACATGCATCAGATTATGAAATAATATATGGTAACATCACTAAGATGACAAAGAGAATGGTAAATCAAAAACAAGCATCATATTTTGCAGGAATCTGCAATCCAAATCTTTGTTCACAACCCCTGAATGAGAATAGACAGGAAGTAACATGAGCCAAGGTTATATGTAATGCACCAATAATTTAAGGGCACAAAGTTGTAGACATATTTTATCAAAAGTAGGCATCCGACACCAGGGAAACCTGCATGAGGCTAAATGGACAGGGACCAATGGGGATTAAAACAGGGAATTTTTCAAAATTTGCAAGGCTAATCCCCGTATAAAAAATGTTACTGCTACGCTAGCAGGGAATTCACAAAAGTAACGAAAAACTTCAATTCACCAAAGAACAGCTTGATCTTTATAAAATATCATGGGTAAAACAGAGGTGACCCAAATCCAACTGCTTGTGCATTTACTCAGTCAGGAATTCTCAGTTACACTCTACTTTCAACCTCGCCCAAATCCGAGCTCATGAATAGCTAATTCGAGACCTAGTGATCACATGACCAAAGCCTTAAACAATTTCATTTCTTATGAACAACATTCTGGTAATACAAAGGTTAAAGTTGCTAATCGATCAATTCTTAGTGTTAATGGTAAAGAAATGTCTATATACCTCCGGAATTACACTTGTTTTCTCCCCTGTATGCCAAAAATGTCCTACACAATTATATACCAACTCGATGAAGAGCCAGCAATTTTTCTTTAATATTTTTATCCTAACTAGCGTGCTACAGAACATAATACAAGGAAGGTGCTTGGCAATATTATGGAGAAGAATGGCTTCTACCTACAAATCGAAGAATGAGACACCTCAAGCCTATCAGATAAACGAAATTCTAGAAAAAAGACGAGCCTTAGAACAAATATTAGGTACCACGTGAAAGATTAGGCCACCTTGGTTTCCATTATTAAAGGTAGGGGGTGGGCAATTTAAGTAGAACTGAACCCCCCAAACCAGAACCAAATGTTCCTTTTCGCTGTTCGCTTCTAAATAAATTAGGAATCAAAACCAAGACCCGACCAAGTCCCAGACGGTTCTTGAACTAAAATCATGGGTACATGACTCTGGAATCAAATTTGTCCCTTTATAAGTTGTTTATTTTTTCAATTTATTCACCCTGTCCAAAAACCCAGCCCAACAAGTTGCAAGTTTGTAAGACCCAACGATAAGTACTATAATCAATCAGATCGATTGATTTAAATAATTGAATTATATCACTCTCTTTCGCAACTACTCTAAACCACACGCGCTTGTTCGTCCACACAAACCCTTCTTGAGGAGTTAAAGAGCTACAACCGGAATTGGATGCTATTATGCTATTGAATGCTATTTCATGGCATATTTGCAATGAACAATGTTTGAAATATATTTTGATGGCATATTTTATTGCTTCTATTTCCACTAGAGATAGAGAAGATTATTTGCATTGTTTTAGCTCACAATAAACAAAAATGTTATGGGTAGAACTAAGTAATTAAATAGTAACGCCCCAAAATTTTTATAGAATAATATTTATTTGTTCTATATGGTATATTTTTATAGTTTGAAAAGTTTATGGATTTAAAGTGAAATAAGAACTAAATTTTAATGTGGTCAAATAATTGAGTATTGATAGAGCGAAGATAAGTATATCAATATTAGACCTTTTTATAGCCCCTAATTAATTAGGAGTCTTCGATCTAAGAAAAAATTGTTTTGGATTAGCCTATATCAAATTAAGTCCAATTAAAAAAATATAAGGTAACTATAGTTAGTAGGAACTTGGAATATTAATTAACTAAACATTTTCCTCCTTCAATCCCTACCACGTGACTTTATTTGATATGAAACCATTAGTGTAGTTTCAAATTTCACTTTTTCAAAACCAAGTCCAAGTTGGCACGTGTCCTATTTTCAATGGAATGTTCAGAAAATTTGTAAAGAAAGAGCACATGTCTACCTTTCTGTAGACTTTTTTTTGTTAGTTTCAAATAAACAATTTTTAATAGGAAGTTGCCAATTAGAAAAATATATTTTAAGAGATCTCTAGTTCCCACTTATTGTTTGAGTTTTCATGATTTGAGTATTCGTAACATTGAAATGCTTGGTCAAAAAGATCTAAATCGTCTAAGAAGAGACTGAAATTTATGCGGTCCACTTGTGACCCCCTCCTCATCTGGAAGCCTTTTGGTTGCACATTAGTCAAATCAACAAGACAAAAAACAATATTTTAAACCATTCCAAATTCAAGAAAATTCTACTTTTAGAAACTTCTATTTTGAGAAAATCACATTTTAGGAAATTTCAAATAAAAATAAAAATAAGTATTTTCATAAACATTATGAGTTTAGGACAATATAAAATTTTTAAAATCTTAAACATAAAATCCCTAGCACACTACACTCACTATTTGACCACTCTCCAAGTTATTCAAGGTATGAAATGAAATTTCATTCTTTTTGTATGATTATGAGTTTTCTTGCTTCATGTTATGAAATATTTAAAGTATGACAAAGTCAAGCATCTAGAACTTTTCAACTAGCTAAGATAATTTCACGGGACGAAATTCTTTTAGGTGGAGAGATTGTAATGCCCTGAAAATTTTATAGAATAAAATTTATTTGTTCTACATGCTATATTTTTATCTTTTGAAAAGTTGAGGGGTTTAAAGTGAAATAAGTATTAAATTTTCATTTGGTCAAATAATTGAGCATTAAGATAGCAAAGATAAGTATATCGATATTAGACTCTTTTGTTAGCTCCTAATTAATTATGAGTATTCGACCTAAGAAGAAGTTTTGGATTAGACTACATCAAATGGTTAAAAAAATATAAGGTTACTAGAGTCGGTGAGAACTTGGAATATTAATTAAGTAAAACGTTTTCCTCCTTTAACCCCTACCACGTGATTTATTTCATATGAAAGCATTAGTGTGGTACAATTAAATTCTCTTTTTTAAACTAAGTCCAAGTTGGCCCACGTGTCGCATTTTCAATAGGATGATTACGATTTGTTCTAATTTCTCTTCCTTCTACTGCATTGGAGTGAGTAATTGTACCAGAAACCAACAATGGAAATATACTACCAACTCTACTATATAAAACCATTCTTATCCAATTTATGGTGGTACATAGCTTTTATATTATAATTGCATCAAAACTCAATTTGTAAATTTTTATTTTCACTATAAATACCCCATGAATTCAAGAGAAAATTTCATCATAAAATATTCATACATAGACACGGTCAGAGAGAGAAGTTAGAATTATTACCATAAAATATATATTTGCACATGGCATAAAGAGAGTACTTTTCGAGGCATAAAGCAGTTTTTCATGTCTACATCTCGAAAATTTGTAAAGTTTCAAAAGTGATTTTGGAGTTTTGTATTTCAAATATTTTTTTGATCTATCGAGTTAAAATACTTGTGCAAGTGGTTTGTTTCTGTATTATTATATACTCAGTAATTTATGCATGAATTGCCAGTAAATCTTTGGGTTCGACCTAACGAAATGTAAACTCTATCGAGTTCTTTATAATGAAATGTAAAATCCTTCGAGAATTCAAAATACAATTGATGGGTTTCTCGCTTGACCATCGATATATTGCACATGAAATGTAGAATGAAGTGTCTATTGTATTGTTATGTTTGCCTATGAAAGCTGCATGTATCTTACTAGACAATTTTAAATACTTACAATAATTTTACGAATTATATCAGGTCCATTGGATTTGTGGCAAGATGGTGTTATGAGCTACCAAGTGGATGGAAGAAAAAATAAACATTAAATTTTTCTATCCTTCAATTTATTAGTTAGTTTAATTTGTTTAATGACATGTTAATTAATTAGTTAGATGATTTTATTTTTTTAAAAGCTACAATTTCCATGTTTTGTTTAAATTTATGAATATTTCAATTATTTTATTTAAAAAAAATATTTTTATCATTCCACTTAAAAAAAGTTAACTTTTGGTAATGTTTATGAAAAATTGGGTGTTACACAAGTGGATCTAAATAGTTGCAATTACAAAATACTCGAAGTGTAATATGTGGTTCTGAGTGTTGAAATATTCGGACCGGCTCATCCGACACCCACGACTAATTAAAGGAAATTGCATCTTAATCTTTGAAACGATCTAGACTTTTCAAAACTAGAGTGAAATGTGTGAATTGGCAAAAAATAATAATAATAAATAAATAAATAAATAATCTAATGTTTCTATATTCCATTAGAAATAAAAGTGAAACATGTTCTCGACAATACATAAATGTTTAGGGGCCCTAAAGACACATATATATCATGTGCTAAATGGTTACTTAGTCTCATTGATGTTTTAGCATAATTATTTGGAATCATCTTTCTCATACTTAACCATACTTTGCCTAAGTTTAGTTAGTCAATTTTTGAACTCTCCTTCAAAACCTCAAATGGAAGCAATTATGAGAATCCTACACCACCTAAATGCTACTCATGGAAAAGAATTGCTCCTTTCTCAGATAAGTCATACGAATGTGAAAGCATGTACGATGCAATTGGAGAGGTTCTATGGCAGATAGAAGGTCTACTTTAATATGTTGGACACTAATCGAAGGTAAATAATTACATGGAGGACTAAGAAGCAACATGTGGTAGTAATGAGTGCTCCATATTCATTATATTTGTAACACTTAATTCATTAGTTTGCTACCATTGAGAGTGTTTTAGAACGTTTTAATGTGCGCTTTGATATTGTGATATAGGTTGATGAAATTGAATGAAATACGCAAAAGTTGGCGAAATTGGATAAAATGCCAAATTGTAAGAGATCCAAAGTTTGGGAACTAAAGTGCAAATATTCAAAAGTTATTTTAGGGCTGGGCAAATCTCCCGAACCGAACCGACCGAACCCGAACCGAACCGAACCCGACGGTTCTTGTCAAATTAAATACCCGAACGGGTATTTGAATTGAGAACTGACGGGTACGGTTCGGTTCTCGGTTCTAGACCTAGAACCGAAGAACCGAATCTTTCTAATTTTTTTTTATATTGAGTAAATCAAATTATTTTAATTTTTTCTAAACAAATTAACAAATTAACGATTTCTAAATCCAAATTTTTCGCCCAATTACCCATTTTATTGTTTCATTTCTTAGCCAATCAAGATCAAATCCACTAAATAACCCTAAACACCAACACCAAAGTGCATAACGTTGTCTCGATTCTTACACTCACTCTCTCAGCCTCGCTAATATTCCAAAACCTATACAATTATCGGTCGACACTGTGACCTCCGATCGAAACTGTGACATTCGCAAACCGAAGCTTTGATCGTAGCGATCATTTGAACAAGATAGTTTTCCTAGTTTCTGACATTCCAAAACCATTGAATGTATCATTAGTTGTATTTATATAATGTTGTTATAAATATTAAAAAATTTAATTATAGTACAGAACCGAACGAAACCGAACTGAATCGAACGGAACCGAACCCGAACGGTTCCATAATTATATTTGGACCCGACGGTTCCATTTACTAAATACCCGAAAAGTTCGGTTCGGTTCAATTCTCTTCAGAACCGAACCAAACCGACCCGCGCCCACCCCTAAGTTGTTTCGAACCTCACGATCAAGATCCGAGAGTGTTAGGAGTCAATTGAATGAAGAAAGATGATAAAGCGATCAAATTTAGACAAAATATGATAAAAAATCAATTTCCAACCAAAAAGTTATGCTCCGAAATTTCAGCCTCACATTGAGACCTGTTTTTGACATAGCAAACGATCGAATTGGAGAATGATGTCTGAAGCAATGTTGCAACCCTTTAAGTTAGCTTTTCAACGCATCTTGAATCACCTCAATTGGATATTGGACGAAAAAGTTATGCTAGAAATACTAAAGGACGCATAGTCTATCGTTTTAGGTCGAACCGGGCGCCTTAGCATCGCAGCGCCCAACTCATTGAAAATAACAGTAAGCCAAGCACCGCAGCACCCATCTTGGGCATTGAGGTGCCGGATATGCAAGAAAACGCATTTTTATGTTTTTGGACTCTTCTTAGCCCAGTTCAACCCTAATCTGTCCAAGACCCCAACATACTCTAAATACCATTCAAAAAACCCTATTTTCAAGAAGAATTGAAAGGGCCAAACATAACAATTGAACGGGCCAAGATTGAAGACAATTGAAAGGGATTCAATTACAATTCAGAGGAGGAACCAAGGTCCTAGTTTTTTCTACTCTCTTCCTTACGTTTTCTTATATAAAGTTGTCTTTCCATAAATTATATCATGAGCTAAATTCATATTTTAGGGATTGATTGTAGCCAAAACTTGATATTATGGTTTCATTATGTTATAATTACTTTTATTTAATTTTTCACGTGTTTAATTGTATCATGATTTTAATGCTTTCAGTTAAATGACCACTAATTGAATGATTTGATGTTTTAAATTTTGACGCTCGAGAGAGGCAAATTTAGGCACGATCATAGGATTGACACAACATAGGTTTTACGGGTTTCGAGAGAAAGTATAGAATCTATGAAGCTTACTCCATAAAAGAATTGAGACTTCAATAAATTCTTGATTTAATTCTGAATGGAGATATTGAAATTGAAATTTAGAATTAATTTCTAGCCGGCGATTGAGCGAAGGGGTGAGAAATACAATAGGATTCTTGCTTTTAAACATGGAAAAATTAATTAGAATAACTAGACATAATTGAATTGTAATTGATAGTCAGGTGAAATCATTCTCTAGGCTTTTTCATCTCGATTTATTCGTATAATTTGCATCCCTTGAATTCGTCACCAAAATCATCGTTAGATTGGTTAACAATATTGATTTCAAATTCCATTCGTCTAGATAAAATAGAAGCTATCCAATTATAGTACTTGGTAGAAATTAAATTATAATCCCTGTGGGTTCGACACTCTTTACTTTAAAACTATATTACAAAACTTGACACCATACACTCACGGTATAAATCATGGTGCATAAAACGTGTTGTAGGTAGCTAGCTCAGTACAGAGAGCAACCTGTGATAGCTAGCCTAGTGCACATGCAAGATTCAAGGTCATGGCACTCAGGAAATGTAAGTTGATAAGAGTCAAAAAATTTACTGAATGGAATTGCATATTGGATGTAGAAAATAACCGTCCTATTAGCTATATTATAATAGCAAAGCAGCCGTGACCATGCATACAATCTAATACAGCATTATAGAAAAAACATGTGAGGTAGACAAACATTTCATCAAAGAAGAGATGTCGATGGAATAATATGTACTCAACAATCTCTTTCGAAGTACGGTTACCTGATGTCTTAATCAAGGGAGTGCAACATCCAAAGTACGGTTAAATGATTGGCAAGATGGGAACGAGCATAACTTCAAACTATTTTAGTGTTAGCAATAAGCAAAAAAATCTAACCTTGATTCTAGGAGTTTATTAGTTGTCCATTCTGGGAAGTCATTAGTTTAGCCAAATTTGTAGAGAGGCTGTCAAATATTCCCAGCCTTATTTAGGGTTCTTATGTTTGTTTGTTTTCTTTGATTATTCCTTGATATAAATATGCACATTCCATGGTGAATAGTGTTAGGTTTAAACCAGTAGGTTGCTCATAAAATCTCCAGAATCATTTTCCAACTAGAGACCAGTTCTTGTCTTATACTCCTTGACCAACTCATTAGCCGGTAATGCTACATCCGAAATTTGCCTTCCTCTTCACAAAAGCCCATTGATTAGTAAAGATTTTATCTTCCAAAGCCTCCATATTCACTGAAACATTTCCCTTGATCTTTTATAAACTGGTCTATAGGCTTACGAGACACTAATTATTTATTTTTCTAGACTCAAATTTTTAGGGATAAGACATAAATAGGTCAAACTCATTGTCACCATTCTTGAAAATTTTCTCAAAAACTTTCATTTAATCATCCTTCATAATATCCCAACAATCTAAATAAACACAAAAAAAATCCAAACAGGGATTTATCTTTGGCTGTCAATTGCTGCTAAGTTGATCTGTTCTAATTTGAAAAGTGTCTCTAATCATTCCTTCATATCGCTTGAAATAGGACATCATTCTAAGCCTTCCACTCCCCTCTTCACTCTCTCGCCTTTAAGAGTGAACTCTCCAAAAAGAGAGAGAGAGAGAGAGAGATTTTTCCTTCTCAATATCTTCATTGCTAACAAGAATCAACCCAACCCTCTCCCTTAACTTTATAAATCCATTCTTTGACTTCCTAAAACTCCATAGTCTAAGAAAACCCTGATTATGAATTCCCTCTTTGATCATCTAAATTTCAATTTTGTCAAAATGGGACCAATTCCTCAAAGGTTTTCTCTTCTATCCTATTTCTCAATTGACCTCCTTTCCTAACTTCATCCGTTAAAATGGTATTGACTTTGACTTGAGAAAATTCAAGGAAAGGACAAGAGAAGTTCCAGGAAAATTAAGAATAATTTAGGAGCGTAACGAGTAATCAGAGCTCTATAAATATTTATGCAATCGAACTCCACTTTAATATTTAACAGTTTCTTATTTTGATAAGGGTTTTTATATTATAGTAAGTTGATTTTAGAACTTCTTAACATGACAAAGGAAAACAATATGCATGTTTCATAAATAGGTTTCCAACGACTTTAGCAAACCTGTGGGAAAAGAAATAACACATTTTCCAAGATAATTATCATCAGAAATACTTTTTCTGATATGAGCAAAAGATGGAAGAATTGACCAGAGCTTATATACTAACATGTCAAAATTCTGAAAAAGAATACGCATAATGCGTGCTTCCATACAGAAACCCTGTCAAAGACAGATACAGATGATTAGCTCCAGGATTGTAGATTCACGTTGCAGTTAAGAGAAAATAAGAGCTTTTTAATTGATAAAATATGGATTGAGTTTGTTAATTTACCCTCAAGATTTCAAGGACAAGAATGCGATGCCATAGTGGTAAATCAAGAGTGGTAACCCGCACTAACATGCTCAGAAATACCTGAGTTGAAAGATTTACTCAAAACATAGCACACAAAGATGCATAAAACGGGAAATTTTGTCAAAGTCAACACATAATTACATTATAATTCATCCTGTAACAGTTTAAAATCTAAATGCTCATCAGTTATTAAACTTAACGAAGATGGATAGTAAAGCCTGAATATAATTTGTCGAGCAGTGAGATGTTGACATAGATGTTTATTAGTTGAGGAAGATTATGATCTTGGACATGTTTATCTTGCTTTCTGAAAACAATAGATTTTCAAATATATGGTACGAGTAAATTATATTTTACATGTGATATCCTAGACTTCGAAAATTAAGGAATCTGTGAGTCCTTGTCCCATGTCCAATGTCTGGGCAGCATAGATTTTCAAATCCTGATCACTGGTCCAATAAGCATAAATATCATTACATTATAACTTCAGTTTTATTGTATTTCTGTAAATTATATTTTACATGTGATATCCTAGACTTCGAAAATTAAGGAGTCTGTAGTCCTTGTCCCATGACCAATGTCTGGGCAGCAAAGAGTTTCAAATCTTGATCACTGGTCCAATAAGCATAAATATCATTACATTATAACTTCAGTTTTAAGTTTCAGAAATACAAGTAATTTGACCCATCTGAAGCCTTTTTCACCATTTTCACACTAAACTTCTATAAATCATTTTCTTTTATGGTCACGATGTCTATGGACTAATGTGGATACTCATTTTAACCAAAAGACTTTAAAATCAACTTGTCCGGACCTATGTTGCTCAGACTCAATTTTGAAGGAAGTGCCTGAGGAAACGGGTATGGAATCTAATTAGAAGAAGATCAGTTACATGTTTTTTTTTTGGGTATTGGATTTAAACCAATTTGTAATTTGTATATCATATTTCTAGACTTGAAATGAAAATGAAATGAAGTATTACAATTTGCAATTTAATTTGTTTTATATGTTCGGTCAACATATAAATTATTATATAAAGCATATAATTATCATCTATAAATATTACAAAAATTTTAAATTCTTAAGACATCCATGTATCTTGTCTAAATTTTAGATCATTTTAGTTGAATCCTCATATCCAAGATTTTAGGGGGGAAAGGATCTAACTCCTAAATATGTACCAGATCAAACCCGAGTACAAGCAACATAGGTCAGGACGTATTGGAGTGTCAGGAGTTGCCTTACAGTTGAAATGGCATATAATATTTTGTAGTTCTCATAAAATCCATGCTTGCTTTCAATCATTTGCAAGTAAAATGAATTTCTATCCTACTTAAGATCAGTATGATGCTCCTTTATCTGGTAGTACCTTTGCCTAAGTTACAATGACAAAATGATAGAACACTTGTTTTGTTGGGAATGACTACAGCAATTAAAAATCCAAGTCTTGGTGTCATGGCAATAATTCAGGCGAGAAGTTTTCATTTCTTTCTTTCTTTCCGTTGTCGGTGTGAGGGTGCATGAATTGGAGTTGGGATGAAATCAGCCTTCTATTTGATAACCAAACTTTTGGTTAGAGCAAAGACCTATCTTCCGAAAACAATACTCATTAGTGCCAAAAAGTGGATTGTTGCACTTAGTTCCCACTTACGTCCTTCATCTTCCTTTCTTCCACTTTCTTTTTCTATTATTTTGATATTGCCTCTTTGTTCCTGTTTTCTTTTCTCTATTTCTTATCTTCTTCAGCCTTACATCATCCTTATTTTGTGTTAGGTGAAGCATCAGAGTCAAAGCACCCTAACAGTTTGTTGAGCATTTTCAGCTATCAAAATCTTTAATCCTGACTAACATAAATTTGATAATTTTGAGAAACACAACATAAGAAGAATAATACCTCAGATTCGGTGGTAAGTGATGAACTGTAAAGCCTGATTACATGGGCTACAGACCGCAATACGAGGCGATGGAAATAAGGTTCTCCTGCCTCATCTTCAAGCTAACCCCATATATGTGAAGAAAAGGAGCATTTAGAAGCTCTTCTCTAGATGGCACATCAAATTCCATTCTATGAATCTAGTGATAGGACTTCATATTAACCACATTACTCACCTCAGAATTGATACGAAATGATGTCATGAGAAGTGAACATATTTGGTGACGCAGGACCTGTTAATTGCCATTATCTGTTAGGCAATGAAAATTACTGGAAAAAATGAAAAGCAAGGAAGCACAATTTTCTGTTCACATAGTTTTCACTAGTACCTGTTCATAAGGGAGCAAGGTTCTAAACAGTAAGACATAATTGGATAAGATGAACCTGAAAAATCATGAAATGACATAAAATATCGTCCTATGAAATTCTCTGTTTTAATAATCAAAAATTTCAAAGAAATAAATTTTCAATTAATGACACACTTAAACTAAGGGCTTAAGATGTCACTTCTGTTAATAAGTGAAGGAATACATAAATAGAGCAGGTAGATGCTAACACATGTACAAAATCATGTTTCTGTATAACAGTTTTCTTTCAGTGTTTCTTCCCGCTCCCAAAACCAATAATTATCATGAGTCCAAGCAAAATCATTAAAAGAAAAGCAGAAAAAGAAAAAGCAGGTTATTCAGCCACCACAATTATCGTCAACACCATATCAATGTTGTATCTGCCCATAAATCATAACCATGTGCGGACATTCCAATACTATAGTAACAATTGATAATTGAAGACAAAAGATTGATATTTCAGAAATAACAAAGTCCGCCATCATATGCAAGTTATCTGTTGCTTGTTTGATCATCCTCTAGTTCTGTAGTAGTTGGGAGCTTGCTCAGAAAAACTATAGGTACGCATTTGGACAATATCTTTTGCGATCCAACAATATACTCTTTTCAAATGAAGCTTGTCCATTTAGAGAATTCCATATCACATCATGCTTTTCATTCCAAAACGAATCATTACTATTCTGCAAAACTCTGAAAAGAGAATGTTGTACAGCTCTACTAAACTTTTCACAACATAAATAATAATACATCCATTTTTAACGAAAAAATAATATGAACGACAAATACAAAATCCTTACTCAAGTGTGTCGAGAACAAATGATCATTGAATGGAATTAGCATGCGACCATATGAACAATAAAGACAAAAGTCCTTACTCAAGTATGTCAAGTGCAAATGCTCGTTGAGGGGAATTAGCACGCAACCAGATAGCCTGAAATGTGCAGACAAAAAAATATATAGTTATCGTTCACCAATGCTATGATGTTCCCATACGGATATGTATGTTTGACACGCGATTTTTCAAAAAAGTACTGACACGAGACATCACCAATAAGTTGATTAAATTCTTTAAAATTCTTCATTTATATAATATAAATTTATACTTTTAAATATTTTCTTATTGAAATATTTTATATATAAAATACATATTTGTTAATTTCTAACTTGGAATTTAAAATATGTAATATTTCTAATAAAAAACGAAAAATGATCTTGATAGTGTCCAAGGAGTGACAGTCTCCGACACATGTCGGACACAAAAACGGACACTCTACCTTAATTAAAGTGTCCATGCAACAGAGCACCAATGTTTACCCCAACCATAAGAAATATTCAAGTTATTCCAATGTCACTCTGCCTATGGGCATCAAAATTTAAAACATATTAAGCAGCCAAATTTAGTTACTTATGTTAGCACGTACAGATCCACCAGCAGCAAGAGTTGTCAAGTCCTCAAGCAAGCAAAGCCCGAGCTTTCCAAACTTGGTAAGGGTATCCCTACGTAATGAAGAACCTCCAGAGATAATTTCTCGCTCTAAAGACCTGTTCAGGCAAGGTTCAGTTATTCTATTGAGGGACCCTGAACATCAACATTCTAAGTCAACGACGTAAAAAAACCAACTTCAGTAAAAAATATATATATATAGCAGAACCTACAAGACTTCTGCTAGTCTCAAATGTGACTAGCACACATGAATGGCTACAAAGGTGGCAGCTGACTACAAAGCCATACTACATGGATATGGTGTACAAGCAAAAGAGAATCAAATTTACATACTCTAGGGAATTCACATTGCGATTCATGTCACTAGTAAATGAACTAGTTCGAGAAACGTATCTTCCAGAACCAAAATTGCCAGAAGGCAATGACTCTGCATGGACTACTTGATCAAATATCAGTGCTACTGCTTGCCTGAAGGTTGCTGCAGCAGTACTGGAAAATAAGCAAAAGAAATGATAACAAAAAGTTAGAAGAAAGGTAAGTAGAAGAAAAGAAAAGAACAAAGAAAAGTGGAAAGGCCATAACAATGTCAAAGAAAAGGGTTAAAAAATAACCAATTTACATTTACTTACTTCCGCACACTGTCAGATGACCGACTGTTTTCAAGAAGCCGGAGACAGATACCAAAAGCATGAGCCATATTCTCCTGCAGTGACAAGAGTTTGTGTAAAATGTAATGGAGTTATCTGGACAAGCCTGCAAATCCTTACCAATGATTTCCACTTTCCCCATTAAGCCAAAATACAAGTGCACTAAATAATCTCATGACAACAGGGGGAATTATGCCTTTGTTCAACACGTTTCACTTCAAATAAATAAAACAAAGTTTTGCAAATGAAATGGAATTCCAGACCACATTCACATCATTAAGACATCTGAAGAGCACACGAAGAAAACAAATACTTTTTGTTCATAGAATCTGTTTTGTCTATTTCTCAAACAATGAAATCGGAGAAGAATTAAATCCCTGTTAGGCCCCCATTAAAATTATAATTCAATTTTCACTCTCTTCTTATCAATCATTCATTTTTCCAATAAAATAATATTATACGAAATCCCAAAACTTTTACTACTTTTCTAACCACACATTTTTCAGAAAAAAACACAATATTCCAACCATTAAAATTTCAAATAATATGCCCAAACAAGGGCTAAGAACACAACCATTCTTAAATTTGAAGAAAATCTACTAAAGAAACTCAAACAATTGTAAAAATCTCACTCGTATATCAGAGAGTGATATCCCAATGAAAGTGCCCAAAGCCTTTGGTTATAAGAAGGCAAATTGACCACTTGAGAACATCCTAAAAATCTCACCAATGTAAGTGCCCAAAGCCTTCTTTTATAAGAAGAAGGCAAAAGAAGTTTATTATGGAACCTTGTAGCATTTTCCTCTATCCAGCACACCAAGAGAAAACCAGTGGACCAGACACCTGAGAAGCCCAGGCACCCTCACTTCAACCAAAGCCCTAAAACCTTATCCAATAACGTGTTCTCAAAATAATTAGGAACCAGTACACACCAAAATCTCAAACTTCTTCAATAATTCCATTTCTTTACCGTAATTCATGAGTAAATGGAATGAATGTCATATAGCTGCAAACACATCAAACACATCAAAAGAACCATATTTATTAGGGCTCTGTACATATAGCAAATATTTTTATTATTATACTCCTTGGGCTTTTGGATCAAGGAACATCAAACACATTGTACTGCTCCATCTGATTCAAGCTGTATTTGAAGATAGACCTTCTGAAATGATATGCTACCTCATTCTCTTGCAATAAGCCACCAAGAACGGGCCACAAAATAGAATATTTTATAAAAATGTTTAGTAACTTTGATCTTTCCTGACTAAAGTGTGTGTTAAAAAAAGAAGCAATGGTGTCAAACGGAAAAATGAAAAGTTATATGCAACAAGTTTGACTTGCTGTTGAATTACTAGTTCATTTGTAAGATAAAATTTGCCAACATTTCTTGTTTCTATTAAATGCTATATGCCTTAAAGTTTCAAAAGAAGAATGACAGAAACGTTCCTTACTTGTTCATTTGATTGTGGGGTTGGGGGGGGGGGGGGGGGTTTTATTTTCTTTGGTGGT